TAACAGCAGCTATGGAGGCTCTCTGAGAAAGCCAGCTTAGAATCCAGGAATGGTGTGGTGTGAGGAGTCCTAAGCAAGGGGAGATATACCCTGCCGACCCAGGAACGAACTAAGCTGAGAGAAACCAACTGGAAATGCAATCCCAGTGCTATAACCAGAACAGATAAAAATCTCAGTGCGGAAGCTGGAACCTGTGCCTCTGGAAACCACGATTTGAATTTCCTGCCGCTGCTGCTGTGTCTGAATCGGCATGGCAGGGACAGAATGTGAAAGCTCTGAGAGTGGGAATCAGCGAATGGAGCTGAGAGCAGGACTGGCAGGGAGCCCTGCATCGACCTGCAGTGAGTGAGAGGAATGGGGACCCTTCCATAGACTAGGAGGCTCCAACAGAGGACATTCTGGGACTGAGTAGATTAGCCAGAACAGGACGCTGCAGTGACTTTAGTTGCATATTCCCCTCTCAAGCAGGATTGGTGAGGCATGCTTGGCCTGGGTGACACCATGGACTAAGACCCAATAGGCTAGCCCAAACCAGGTCCCAGCGCCTGGCGCTGTACCCTAGCAGTGAAGCCTTTAGTAGGTTGACCTGGAGGGGTAGGCCCAGCAGAGGCTGCCCAGGTCTGTGTCTCCCTAGTACATTGCAGTGGGCGGGAACACCTGTAACCGACAAAGAAAGAAACTGGGCCTCCTATGTACATGTGTATAGAAGGAACAAAAAGTATGGGAAGAGGGAGCAACAAGAAAGGGTCCTCAGTCCCCAATCCTGAGAACACTGATCCAGGAAAGGTAGATGCAAAGGAGAATGAGGACAGAAAACATGCTATATCAGATACAGCACCAATAGACATAAAGTGATATCTCCAGAGCCTCATAGATAAGTTCAAAAGTGAAATATTTAATGAAGTAAAGCAAGACATAAGTAGAATAGTTAGAGAAATGCTAAGCACCGCGCAAGAAAAAACAGATGGTGGAATGGAAGAACAGAAAAAAAGGGGAGAATTGTTTGATGGAGAAAATAGAGAAAACATAGAATATGTGAAGCAGGTTCAAAGAGATTACCAGGAAACTAAAAACTCTATTGAAAGCTGGCATAACAGTTTGAAAGAAATTAAGGATAGATTATCTGAACTGGAGGACAAATTTGTAATGTGGGAGCATGAAATGAAAAACTTCTTAAAAATAACAAGGAAACAAACAGCAATACTACAAAGGCTAGAAGATGATAAGAGGATCTATAACTTAAGAACGTAAAAGAAGAAGTAGGGACACAAACAAATGAACTACAAAGGCTATTCACAGAAATAATCCAGGAGAATTTCCCTAATTTAGCAAAACTCAGATGTATGAGGCATACAGGACACCAGCCACCTACAACTCAAACAGAACTACACCAAGGCATTTAATAATCAAAGTTCCAGAAATTCAATGTAGGAACAGAATGTTAAAAGGTGTCAGAGACAAGAAACAGATCACTTACAAGGGAACACCCATCAGAACTACAGCAGACTTCTTGGCACAAACCATCAAATCACGAAGAGCATGGGGGGAAATAATTCAAGCTTTGAAAGATAATAACCTCCAGCCAAGATTGATACATCCTGCACAATTGTCCCTAGAAATTGATGGAAAAACAAGGTGCTTCCAGGATAAAGAGGAACTAGGGGAATTTGCAACCACCAATTCAACTTTACAGAGAATACTGCAGGATATTCTAAAAAAGAAAAATACCAAAATTCCAGAAACAGTGGCAGAGAGGCCACATGAATGGAGTAGAAAGCAAAATGAAGAACACAAACTGACAACAAATGACAGAAAAAGAGCTCAACAGAAATGAAGCAGAGAAGGTTGGATGGTAGAAACAGCTATGTTGGAGAAAACAAGACATCATAATAGGTAGTGCTGATTTAATATCATCTTGTTTTGAAGTCCCATCAAGCTTTTGTTCTTCTGTCTCCATCAGTCTTAACATGTTGTATCTTGTTGGATTTTATTATATGTGATAATATAAACAAAAACTTTTATAGACAAGGAGATTATACAGAAACCATTGTTCACTTTCTGTTAGTTGGTTCTAAATACCCTGTAATACTGTCATTTTCCTGAATGGTTTTTCATTGTCTTGATATGTTTGATGCTACGGTATACGAAGTTATACTCAAAGATTTCAAGGAAAGAGACACTATGGTAACTACTTCTATGTCGGGATATCTGGTGGTGAAACACTATTTTACTAAAATGGTTATGTTTTGACCTGTGCTGTTTTGTTGTTATGTTCTCTTTTATCTCAATCTCCTTTTTGTATTATTTACTTTTTTATTTTTTTTAATTAAGGGAAAATAAAAAAACAGCAGGAGATATTATAGTAACCCATTTTGATTTCCTACTAACTTGATTTGAAACCCTGTATTGTTCTCACCATCTTGTTTTGACTGATTTTCCTCTATTCTGTTTTGCTTGATACTACCAAGTTTGAGAGTATAGACAACAACTGTGAAGACAATAAGATTCATTATGACACTCATTCTGGTTTGACTATTATCTTCTTTTGAAGTCCTTTAATGTCTCCAATGTTTTGGTTTTATTGGTTTTGTTTTTTTACTGTTTTGTTCAATTTTATTATAACTGATGATATAGGCAAATCTTTTTAAGATAGCAAGAAGCATTATGGTAACCAATGCTGATCACCATTTTGTTTTTACAGTATGTATTCTGTCCATCCTTTTGATTTGACTGACTGTTTTGTTATATCACATTTGGTTTTATTCTCTTCAAAAAAAGTAATACGAACTGTGGGAGTAATAAAACCCAAAATGTATAATTGTCATTGTACAAAACACAGGAAAAGAAAGTGCTCTAAATGATATAACTGCATGTATATTTAAGTGTATAATATAGATAACCATATTACTGAGTTTTGTTGGATCACTGAACAGAACTGTTTGCAGTCTCACTGTTTGAATGTCTACTTTATATGCTTTAAATTTGTAACTTGAACAACTATTTCTAAGATGACAATATGTAACCTATTAACTAGTGATTTCTTACTGTTTATTTTTTCTGAAATTCTGTATAACTTGTTCCCTTTTTCTGTTTTTTTCTTTTTCTCCTTAAATAAAATTTAAAAAAACAAAAAGAAAGTCACTTGCACATAAAGCCTATATAATAGAAGTCTTGGTTAAATATATATGCTGGGGTGTACCTTTTGAGTACAATTTATACAAGAAAATTTATATAAGAAAAGTTTGTGGGTGGGTGTGTATGTGGGTGTGTGTTTGGTATGTGTCTCATTTCTAAACAGCAAGATCATGCACATACTTTAAAAATACCTTTATATGTATTAAAGGTTAAGACTTAATTATATAACCCACAGGGTGTGTGTGTGTCAGCAACCATAATAAAACATAATGTTTTATGAAGCAACTTTAAATTTAATACCTGTATGGCTTGATTTCTTTGTATTCTTTAAAGACTACACAAGGAAATAAGTAGATGCTTTATATCACAGAGACACAATCATTAGTACAGTAAAAACAAAAACAACAACAAAACAAGAGGCGAGGCACAGTGGCACACAGTAATCCCAGCTACTGTATTAGAGAGGCTAAGATAATAGGATCCTAACGTTAGAGATTCGGTCTCAAAATAAAGGGCTCAGAATGTAGCTGCAGTGGTACAGTGGTTGCTTAGCACAGTACCATCAAAAGGAAAAGGGAAAAAAAAAAGTATGTAAGGAAGAAAGGTAGAACCCTAGTTTAACCAAATCTCATTTTGAAACAGAGGTCCTGAGTGCAGTGGAATGGAAAACATGTTATTTTCTATGTTGTTTATTCATATTTATTCATAAATTATGCTAACTTAATAAGGGTTTAAGAGAATTTATTCTGAGTAGACCTGCATTATGTTCAAATTATAGATGGAGATGGAGTCTTTAATAATTTTTTTTAGGATCTACTTGGCTATTTATTAATTAGGCTGAAAACTCTGGGCACACACATATATGCACATATGCACTCACACACTCATACATCTAATTCCCCAATGTTTGAATTTTAACACTGTATATTTTTAGTCATGATAGATTTGCAATGGCTAAGGAAAGTAGAACATAAAAATGTGTTTTTCCATATCAAACCTCAAAACAAGGTAGAGGTAAGCGTTTGGAGGTTTTTATCTGTTGTACACACTGTTTCCATGGATCTGTCCTCATAATACTTCCTGCTGGGTCTGGAGTCTTGCTCTCCACATTGCTAATGCAGTTAGACTAGTCGAGTGACCTCAAAAAAGGCACATTCCTTAGTCAATCTTATGTCTCTGCTCTCTATCCTTGAGTCATAGTTGCTGGAGTTAAAAGCCAGGGCAAGTAAGTCTTGAACTCTAGAAAAAAAGCAACCACATCAGATCGATCAACAGCTAAGGCTGCCCTGGCTCAAGGATTCTTTCTGAGAGGCCAAGAGTCAGGAAATGAGGCCACAGGGAAGGGGGTCTTCATTGTGACCCGCAAAGGTGTTTGTTCTCTTCCTCCATCATTGGGCTGTAAACGTGAACCACATGCGCTTAAGAGGTGAACTGGGCCAGCCATCTCTAACTGGCAAGAGAGGTGACACCCACAGAGGAACACTGAACTGCACTGTCCGTGTCGCGTTCCCCAATTCACTCTCTCAGCCCTACTCTCCACTCCGAAAGTCCTGAAAACAAGCAGTCCTCGACCCACTGCCGCAACAGCGTGGAGGCAAGGAAACCGAAGCACCACAGTGCACCGAGAGCCGCTTCCCGCCCATTCCAAGGCGCGCAGAAAATCAAACGCGACGCTGGCTCGCTGGGGGCTGGGCCGCGCGCGTAGCGCTCTGGGCCGCGCAACCTCCGCAGCCTCCAGCCAGCCCCGGAGCTGGGCGGGGTCGCCTCCAGGCCGCGGGTGGAGGAGCCGAGGAGGAAGAGACGCCAACGGCGCAGTCTGCGCAGGCGCGCGGCGCCCCGCCTCCCCAGCGTCGGCTCCGGGCGGGCGGCGCGGGCCCTCCCACTCTCCCCCGCGCCGCCTCACGGCCGCGGCCCTAGCTTCACCCCGACACCCCGGCGTGCGCCTGCTCCCGCCGGCCTGCAGGCTCGGGGTTCCGCCAGCTCCGCTGCCGCGGCCCCGCTCGCGTTCACGCTGTCGCCTGGGCCGGCGCGGCCGCGGGCAGCCGCTCCCCCTCCCGCAGCCACCCCGCCTTTTCCGCCCTCCGGTCCCTCTCCCTCGGCCCGCCGCCGCTGCTCCAGATGAGGTGATGGCAACGGCCAACTTCGGCAAGATTCAGATCGGGATTTACGTGGAGATCAAGCGGAGCGATGGTGAGCCGCGCCGCCGGCCCAGACGGTCGGACTCCGCGTTGGTCTGCGCGCGGAGAAGACGCGGGCGCTGGTCGCCTCATTGATTGCTCCACGGGGCTGTGGGGCAGGAAGGCGGCGGCCGCAGCGGCGCTTTTGTGTGGCGTGTGTGCAAGCGAGGCCTCGTGGGGTCCGCCAGGCGCCGCTGCAGTGCGGGGGGCCGGGTCGCGAGGAGGCCGAGCGGGGAAGGGGCCTGGGTGGGGGCCTCGCTGCTCTCGGTTCGTGCTCCCCGGGGACCGCTGCCTGCCGCGCGCGGGCTCCGTTGGGGATGACCCTGCTCGCGCTTCCCGCTTGGCATTTTACCGGCCGCCTCCTCGCGGACGGCGTGGGGGTGGGGAGCGTAAAGACCAGTGATTTCATGTTGCAGAGCACCACTACGGTTCGGAGGCCGAGGGGTCTTGCCATCCCGTGGCGATTCACTGCTGTCTGGTTGTCAGGCCTCTTCATTCGGCAGCAGGCTGCTTTTCCTTTTTGCTCGTCCCTTCCACTAGGATGCAGAGAAGGCCGAGCACTGCCATGAACAGAGGTGGGGAGCAATGGGAAGAAATAGGCTGCAAGCTTCTCAAAGATGATACTGGAAGGGGAAGAGAGGGGTGAACGCTGTCCACGCGAGGCACTGAGAGAGGGAGGGAGTGGGCGACCGGATGTTGATATTTTCACACCCTAGGGAGAGAGAACTGAGAAAGTGTAGAGCGGGGTGAAGACACGCTCCCCCCCCCCCGCCTTTTTCTTTTCTTTTTTTTTTTTTTAAGAGCCTTAAGCTTGTGTGTTTTTGTAGATGCCTGTTGGGGAAAATGCTTTAGGTCGCTAACTTTCTTGGGGTCTGGAATGAGATGCATCAACTAGACTTGGGAATTATTTATATTGTAAAGGACAGAATAGGTAAATGGAAATGAATTAAAATTTTTTAATCCGAATATTGAAAGAACTAGAGATGTGTAATAGCCAGAGTTATGGGGCTTTCTTGACTCCACCTATCTTATGCCATTTCTTTTATATTTTATGCTTAACCTAGGCATTCGTGTGATCTGTCAGATCCATCTCCTTTTGGTTTCTACGAGGTTTGAGCAACTTATAAGGAGCTAATCTATATTACACATTGAAAGACATCGTGTAGCTAATGATTTGTTTCTTTCATTGTTTTTGAGGTAATTTGTGATAGCAACAGGAAGCATTATTATTCTGTGTATGAAAAGATAAACTATACTACCACTTAGAGCTTTAGAAGTAATCAGTAATGCTAGTGGGAAAGAGATGTCTTCTTTACTTTCTCTTAAGATTACTTTCTTGGAATAATGCTATTAATACTGTTTTAAAATGAACATAGGCTCACTGAATATCAACAAAAATTGTAGGAGTTACGTACTACTTTTGAAATTTCGGGTGCAATAAAATGTAAGTTCTTTATATTCCTAGAAGCCCTAACTATAATTATAGGTGTTAATTGTGAAATCTTTTAAAAATAGTATTCGATGCACAAGCTTCCATATTTTAATTTTTCTTTGATCTAACATTTAAACATACTTGAAGCAACTTTGGTTCTTTGGGGTTGTAGAATATAGACTTATAATACTATTTCAGCCTTTACTTTCAGTTCATACTAGAAATTCCCAGACATACAAGAGCTTTGTTTCCTTATATAAGTGCTTGTAACCTAAACCATATTTCAGAGGCAGTTTTTCATAATAAATAATGAAAAATTATTACAGTGTGTTATCCTAATTTATAGGTGTCCAGTTTTAAGTGCCTTCATGCATGATGGAGAAGATAAGAACTTTTAAAGGGAATAATAATTTCTGTTGACTGGTAGTGTTGCACAGTGAATATTGGTGTCTAGGAGACTCCCATCAAGGTTTCCCTTTTACATTTTAAAAAAGCTGATTTACTTTTTCCCTTCACTTTTATAATCAGTCTGTATTGGATAAAAACACCAGTGTTTACTGTCACGAAGATAAACTTAGTAGTTGAATGAACACTAATGTAATATCCAAGACAGTGGAATCACAGGGGTGAAGAAGGGCAGTGTCAGACTGCTAGTAATTGGTTACTTGAGTTTTTCTGTATCCATCCTAATGGTGATCCTTGTCCTTGTTTCACACCATGCTTCAAGTGATGCTCAAATATTAAAACTTACTTCAAAGACAAAAGGATGAACTAAAGTAAGTATATACCTGTCTTTTACCCTGTTAAAAAACTGTTCCTGGTAAGTTCATTAAGTCTTTTAAAACCTAGTTGGCATTTACATTCCCAAGTGTCATCCATGAGACAGCATATTTTCTTAAGTATTAATATTTGAGTACACAACTCTTCATACTGCACCTGGGAGAAGGTGTGAAAAAGAGAAACAATAGAGGGATGTCAAGCTGTCCGTACCCCTACTTCAGCCAGAGATAGTATTAAGAGATTAGAATATTTGGCTCCTAAATTTCCATAATTTGTGTGTCATCCCACTTCTCCAGGTGTGTCCAGCAGAAGAACTGATGAATTTTTTATTACTGGGTTTTTGATTTTCAAACATAATTTTAATTAACCATTCTGCTGAATTCTTCCCAGAAAGTGAAACCCTTGTATTCTATGTTTGTTCTGTGTCGCCACCTCCCTGCCATGATTCTCCCACTCTTAGTTCAGGCTGGTGAGACTGATCTCCTAAAGCCAGTCTGTTTTATTTGATATACTGGGGTTAGGAGTGGCAGAAGTTTGGCTTGGATTTCTGAGATTGTTTCCAGTTACAAGTGGTAAAATTAGACTGGTATAAAATTGGATTAGTCTCTGGAAATGGACATTCTTACAGCCATTTTCTTATATCTGTCTTGCTGTTATCTTTCTGATTCCGGTGCTATGTGGAACCCAGTCTTACAGTCATATAGCTGTAAAGTCTTTATTAGAAGATTTTTTAAAGTTGCACTATTAAAAACATTTTTTAGTAGTAGCTCTGACTTGTTTGTTTGTGACTAGGGAAGAAATGAAGTGTTGAGAATTTGGAAACTACAGCTAACATGGCATTGTTCTTTGGATCTTTGTCACAGTGTTGATATGTGTGATCTGAAGGGAATTTTATATTTCATCCAGAGAGATACTTAGAGATTATCTAGTTCTCATTTTTATAAATGTGGTAACTGAGTTTCCATTCGCCATAAGTGACTTTATAGAGTCATACAGCTTGTAAGTGGCAGCCAAGAACCTGTCTTGCATAGCATAGGAACCATACTACCAAGAACTCTGACAGTAAACAAGGAATTCTGTTATTTTGGAACCATATTCAGCTTTTTGCAGCCTGTGAGAGATAGGAAGCTGCTTCTCACTGGAAGCAGGCACCAGAGAATAGTGCTATAGAGCCAGATTGTAATGACCCCTGATACAGTATAATTAGTAGGATTTCACAAAATTCAAAATTCTGGGAGGAAAATATTTTTGTTTCTTAATTAGCATGGGTGAAAAAAAGTACTTTAATTAAAGCATATGAAATTCAGAGGAAATCAGAATGTTCAAAGGATGCATCAGGAATGCTGGTGTTTAGAGAGAGAGAGTCTTTAGAAAACACACTAAATTGGCCTAATTCTTTACATACTTCACCACATATATTATTCTGCTAGTTCATCTTTATATGTCATTATATAAGCTTCTGATGAGTAGACTCAATTTAGGTAATAAAAATGAACTACACAGCAATATAATTGTTTTTTTAATTATTAAGTGTATAACTAATATAGGATAAGACAGAATGGGGGGATTTGTGGATATATATAATGCCTTTTGCGTGATGTCTGAGACCATAATATTTCTGTACTGTATATGATTTGTTTCACATAGTTCTCAGTATGCTTCTATAGTACCTAATTGCATCCTCATAGAAGCCTTAAGAAGTAAACAGGATAGGAAAGTAGCAAAATTGTCATTTCATAGGTGAGAACTGGGATTTGGATTATTTGCCATAATCACATGATTCATCAAGGGCATATTTGGGCCAAAGCCTAAATCTGTTCACTCAGAGGTCTGTCTTATAGTGCCAGCGTATGTTTGCTGACGGTGGTGTGAAGTTACCTATGTTGGGTATATTAATCTGCTTTTTGGACATGCAAGCTTCTTTAATAAAATTCTTTCCACTACAAGAGGCTCAGAAAACTAACAAATGATAGCATACCTTAAATTTGCCAAGTTGGTAAAATCAAATTAAATTCTGACAGTTTATTAACTCTAAAGGTGAAGAATGGCAATATAAGACTTTAAAGCCCTTACCAGTCGTCAGTCACTTGTTGCTTCCAGAATAACATAGAAAGCCAAGCCATTTGATTCTTATAAGAGATAGTGCGTCAGCTTGTTGTGTCATAATTTTTTTAAAAAGCTAGAAAAAAAACCAGCCAAGAGCCAGTTATATGCCTGTGTATGCTTAAATGGAGAAGTGGGTGTTGGTGTGGAAAATCTAAAACAAGAAAGGGATTCCAGATGTATTTTTTTCAGTTATAAGTATACTTGCCATTAATAACTACATTAATCCTGTACAAGGCTTAATTCTTGGATTCAGCCATCTAGTTTGGTTTGCTCTATAGAACTTTTGTTTTGTAACTTAAAATAATTTTTTAAGATAATTTCTTTAGTTTTTTCTTGGAAATAGGATTTCACTATATAGTTAGGCTGGCCTTGAACTCACTAAGTAGCCCAGGTTTAAACTTTCAGCAATCCTCCTGCCTCAGCATCCCAAACGCTGGGATTATAGGTGTGCACCCCTGCCCAGTTGAAATCATTCTTAAAGAATAGCCATAAGTTTTGAGGTCTGGATAAAACTAATTTCTGGTCCATTGGAACAAATAGAGGTTAGATTGCCCTTCTGTCATCTCTTTTAGTTACAGTACTGTTAATAGTATTACAGATTGAGCATCTCTAGCCTGAAATCTGAAATGCTCCAGAATCTGAAACTTTTTAGCCCCTAACAGGATGCCATTAGCGAAAAGTTCCATACCTGGCCT